TTCTTTGAAAGATCACTGCGGCGAATCGCCGGCGGAGGATGCTGAATCCGCGTACGTCGACCCGAATCGGTTTGACAAACCGGATAGACCGTGCCGCGCATGTGATCGCCGGCCGGCTGTTGTGGTTCTTCTTCCCTGCTGTCATCTCTCTCTCTGTGTTTCCTGCGATTTTGTTTCCTCCGTCGGGGATCCTTGCCCCGCATGCGGCATATTCCGCACCGGTAGCCTTCAAGTTTCGTTCGCATAGATAAAAAAAAAAACAGGACTAAATAATAATAGGAGAAAAAAAGTAATTGGAGCTATTTTACTTTTCCTTAATTACTCTTTTTGGTTGCAGCCTTACAGCTCTAGGAAATGAAAAAAAAAAAAAGGCATAAAATTTATATAAATTCTTTTAACCTTTTAATCTTTGAGTACATAAGACATGTGCAGAGCTACGTGTTTTTGGAGGTTATTCAGAGGGTATAAAAGAGTTATATTTTTTTTATACCCTCTTTAATCTCTCTGTAATCTACTTGTAATATATCTGTAACTTATAAATAAATTTCGTGTTTTTGTAGTTTCGGTAGTTACAGGGAGAATACAGGAAAATATAACCCGGATATAATAAGCTTGTACTCTGAGTAACTTCCGATGTATGCAGCGTTGCTTTATATTTTCCAGAGCACCGACAGAGCCTTTAATGATTTTCTTATTAAAAAAATTTTCCGTTTTAAATTTTAATGGCCCGTTATTATTATTATTATTATTATTATTATTTGAAATTATTTTTGTTAGATTAACGTTCTGAAAAGAGGGGGTGCAGTTAATGGACGGACCGGTTCGCTATCATTGGGGGCCAATAAATAGCGGCGTATACGTGATCGTACGGGTGAGGCTGAAGGAGGCGGTGGGAGGAGGAGGTGGGTGGTAGTGGGTTTGCGATTTCCCTCTTCTTTATTAACGACCGTTCAGTGGTTGGCGCGTCCGATGAACTGCGTCAGAGATGGCATGTGAATTAGGAATTCGGCCTTCGGGTAGTTGTTTTTGGGCCGGGTATAGGTTCGGCCCATTTATTCGAAATATTTTTTTTGGCAAGTAGCATAAATTAAGCAACAAAAAAATAACTAAGAGTTTGTTTGACTAATGAATTATTTATTTTGTATCAATAAATTGTGTTATTTTAACAATATTTAAAATAATTTTTATGTATTTTTATTATTTTTAATACAGGACTACAACACATGACTTTGTACATCATATGGGTGAGCAATGTGTTTGTTAGCAATAAAAATAAACTAATAAACTATTATAGGTTAAAATTTAATGCTCGTAAAACATGTAAATAATATAGAAATCTTCCCTATCTTAGATGACACCTTTAGTAATATTCTATTTAAACTTATTAACAATAGCATATGAGGTGCAAGTTAGTTTTGGATCCACCCCAAGTTTCAATATTTTGTGCTTATTGATGGTCCTTCTTATGTTATGTAAGCTTTTGTGCTCAATAGTTTATGAAAATATAAAACCACAGCTAGATAGTAGCTATTAAAGTTGTTATAATTAGTAGTGATTTAAAAAAGATAATAGCCTACTAAATATGAAAAAATGAATGACTAATCTAATACAATTACTAAATGTTTTTTTGTGTGCTTCTTGTCGACCACTTCTATTACTTTGAAAATAGAAGTTGTGGATTGCCATAGAAGGAGAAGGGGTTTTCAACAAGAAAGCTTTTGGAGAACTTTATTGGGAGCATGGATTTGATTGCTCAAAAGTCCAATTTATATTTTATAATTTCATCCCATAACTTAAAATGCATCTTTGTCATCACTTAAATTTTTATTTTATTTTACAAATAAAGACATAGTCTAAAGCAAAGTAGATTTTTTGAAGGAGGGATTAGAGAGAGGGAAGCTTGGGTGTTTAAATGGGGTGTTAAGAACTGACCCAAAACACCAACTTGTTTTGAACCCAACTTGAAAAATTTTGGTTGGGGTATATCTGAATAGTATTCAGGCCAAGTTTGGCTTAATCTGAATAACTTTTGGGTCCGATTTAGGTTAAATTTTCTAACCCGTTTAGTTTTTCGGGTCCGGTTTTGGGCCCAAAAAATGAAACCTAAATTGACTTAAAATAAACCCGCCAACCCGAAATTGAATCAAAATTTGCTTGATTTGAACCATTTTGGGCCCAAAAAATGACCTTCCAAACCTAAATTGACTTAAAATAAACCCGCCAACCCAAAATTGACCCGAAATTGAATCAAAATTTGCTTGATTTGAACCCAAATGGCTATTTTATCATATGTTAAATGGTGTTTTGGATCATATTAGGTTCTAAGTTTGCGGGTTGAATGCTATTGAGATTTTCAATTGGTATAACATTCAGTTTCAGATCAAACCTATTAAAATCAGGTTAGTTTCAGGTCAAAACAACCCGACCCACTAACTCGAATTGACACCCGTGTTTTGTTATAGAAAAAAAAAAATTATAGCAGCCATGTTTACTCATGCACAAAATAAAAAAATAAAATAAAAAGCACTAAATCTCAAAATAAATTACGAAGTTTTAAAAATTTGTAGCTTCGTAGCTGCATTTATATTTGTTACAAAATAACGATTTTGACCCTGTAAATTGATTGTAATGCTTTTAGATGCTACGAATTAATTGCAACAATTTGAACAGCTAAAAAGCAATGCAATAATTTTAATTGTTGAAATTTAGAGTGATTTATATATAAATAATAGTATCATTATTTATTAAATACGTGAAAGCCTCAATAGGCTTTTCCTTTCATGAAACATGCATGCCTATTCTTCATCCTTCGCCACACCTTCATTATTCCTTTATTCATCCTTCCTTTATTGCTTTATTTCCATCTTGCCCCCACCTACAAGTGTAAACAAGCCGACCTAATCGTCCTCCTTCAAAACCCTATCTTTGACTCTTCTAAATCAACCAAGATGCAACCTCTAGCTTTTAACATCCTTTTGCATTTCATGATAAGCAGTTTATCCTGAAATACGGCTCTCGGGTCGACCGCGGGATTCGACCTGCGGTCTGCTTTTAGTGTAAAAATAGAACCACTTTTTTGAATAAGCTTGCAAAACAAGCGAATTAAAAGGTACCACGGGTTTTTCAAAAATGCCTCCGCACTTATAAGCTGCCCCAAACGGGCCCGTAATCTCTCATGAGCTTCAATCACCTTCCTTGCTTTCTCTTTATCTTATATTTCTATGCCCAACACATACTAGGAACATTGTCATTTTAGAATTATAACTAGGGCTATAAATGAGCTGAACAAGAGCGACCTAGTCTCAACTCGTTTTCAGTTCTTTAAAAAATATTATTATTTTTGTTCAGCTTGTTTGTATTTTGAACAAAAAATATGCATATATATGTTCTTAGGGCCCATTTGCTTAGCAAGCCGGACATGAACTGTATGCAAACAAAGAATCGATCTAACAACCCTACCCACAGTCATAGGAAGCTAAAGGTTGGAGCATGATTTAAATCTTATTCTTTATTATTATTAAATATAATTTAATATATTTTCATTATATTTTTTTAATTAATAATTTTAATTAATTATAAATCTCAATAGCCTTATAATCAATTATTCATATATATATA